GGGAATATACTTTTTTTTTTTAAGTTTCAAAAGGATAACATCACAGCATTGACATATCAACATCGAAACGATCATTGCATCGCGTTTCTCGAAAGCCATCGAGCTCGACGAGTTTCCGCTCGCTCGAAGAATGCACCGATTCGATATAAGAAACAGGGTTCTCGATATAAGAAGCGAGTGGTTCTCTCGCTGTGATTACCCGAGGACTTTCGAGGGGCGCGCTGTAACGGCCGTAGCACTTTTCGTTTGCTATAGAACAATTTACAACATCTCATTAATTAGACATCTCAATTCCGTCTTTGAACAACTGCACGCATTATACGCAAACTGTGTTCTTCTATAATCGGTCTCTTTCACTCGCTCGTTCGCTCGCTCATGCACGCATACTTTCTCTCTTTCTCTCTCTTTCTTTCTTTCTTTCTTTTCTTCTCCCCCTCAATCCACCTCACATTACGATCATAACAATTAGATAATCGAATAGTAGCAGTGGAATTGAGAATCCAATACAATAATTCACAACATTCTCTTTCTCGCTCGCTCTCACTCCCCCTTTCTCTCTCTCTCTCTCTCTCTCTCTCTCTCTCTCTCTCTCTCTCTTTCTCTCTCTCTCTGTCGCTTTTTTTCGTTATTAGTGCAACAATAGTGAAATAAAGTCCTTTTGTCGAGGAAAACGAATGGATCGCGGGAAAGTCACGTGACGCATTTTGTCACGCGCTAAATAATTTTCTGCGTGCATATCAGTGGGCGACACCGATCGCGCATTCGCGACAGGAGAGAATATAGATAATATACAGAGAAAATCTTTGATCCGACGAACCAGCCACGAAAGGAAAATATCGAGGACGCTCGCGCGTACACGAAGTCTATCATTCGTTCGACGACACGATTCCTACGCACACGACAGGATTGCGTCTGGTCCTCGCACAAGTGCCACTCGGTCCGAATCGACGATTACTTCTCTCTCGCGATGCGTACATAAAAAGTTCGAATTTTGCGAATACACTTAACGAGGTCGCTGTTCATATTTTTAATACAATCTAGATTTCTCGAGAAGATGCACTGTGCACTTTGGAATGTTCTCACTGAGGATTACAATTTAATGATATACACGCAAGAAAAATCTTTGGTCAGATCTACCAAATTTCTAATAAAATGAGCGAACTAGAAAACTTTGATTGACATCACCGAAATCCTATTTAAGATGACCAGAAATCTAGTTATTTCAAACAGAATTCTGGTAATGTCCACTGGAATTCCTGATTCGTTCATACTTCATCAGGAGTTTGGTTAATCCGATGAAATTTCTTTTTCCGTGTATGAATGAAGAAGCGGAATATGGCCTCGATCATTGGTGACTCAACAAAATCCGCTGGCAAAATTTGATCTCGCCGAACAGTGAGTATGTGAGAGCGAAGTACGCATTCGATTCGGGCCGATGCATGCACGTCGCCGCACGCACAATCTTATACTTCGCTGCTCTCCTCTTCGTTATACAGATATACTTTCGAAACCACATACCGCGGCCAGCAATATTATTGCGAAAGCCTTAAGGCTCGATACAAGGACAGGCATTTCGCGATATTTTTAAGCACACACCGAGAGGATTTGCACTGGCCGAATGTACCTCGCGACATCTTGAGTCGCGGATGGTACCTCAAAGCCCATGCTCAATCCTCGTTTGGACCTTCCAACCATATGGGTTCGCATTCAGTGAACACGTCGATGGGACGAACGAGGGAAATCGTCGTCGACGACTCGGCGCATCTCTAGCATCGCATGCTGCAAATCGACGAACGTAATCCACAAAATTTGCCGCGTCGGCCGAAATATATCCTACCTTAAGAAATACTGAAAAAGCTGCAACCCTATAATGGAATCTTATTCTACCGCCGTCGTGTGTGAATTGCATTCGAGACTAGAATTATTTTACAAGTACGTACTACGCGATTAATCATAGGTGAGTGATCGATCGGGTTGTTGTCTTCACGCCGGCAGAAATAATTATCTGTCGCCACGAAGAGGTCTCCCTCGATCGATCCGAAGCGATCGTCGTCGACGATTCCGCCACGATAAATTCGCTAGAATTTTACACCTGCGCACGTCGTACAAAACCAAATTAGATTACGCGAGTAGCTTCAAGATTTTCAATCTGTCTTCACGTTCGAAGCTAAAAGCGACTTCTTAAACTTCCTTGCGCATCTCCTTACGATTCGCGTGCACACACGGTGCAACAAAATATTCAGTCGTAAGTCATCGCCGTTATCGTTAATAAATCTTTGATACAATCAAACAGCCTCAATAAATTGTTAAACTCTCTCCTCTCCAACTCCAACACAAATAAGTAGACGGGCCCGAAGCATCGCGAGCGACTGAAGACGCCCGATGGCGAAATTAACTAACTAGGCGAATAATTGCCATTACGCGTGCACATACAGTGCGAGCCAACGAACCAAATCCCACGCAATTACCAGGTCAGTTCGCGCCCAACACGCGCGCAATTCGTACAAGTGCAACATCGAAGGTACATCCTCGCGCTCCAGCCTTCGTCACCCTCTTCTTCGCATAACGTCGATACTCATAGAGTCATCATTTTAGTCTTCAGAAAATTCGTATGTTCCCAATTGGACTTTCAGTGTTTTGCCTCGCCTATGATCATCCTCGACTATTCAAAGCTTCTTATCTAGCATAACGCCTAGACGCGACGGGGCTCTCTATACGTAAATGTACTGTATAAAGTCCATGTTCCGATCGAATTTGGAGTCGTCGAATTTCAAAAGAAATACTGCTAACTGACACAACGTTTCCTGAATAATACAAGATACTATACAGCGTTCGTACAATTTGTACCAATTCGAGACGGACGATATTTATCGCTCATAGAGAAAATTTAAAATTTGCTTTGTAATTTAACGCGTGCTGCGAAGAATTTTATAAGTAATGATACGTCTCCCATCAGAACTCTGCCCGTTTCAAAATTCGACGACGCGAGATCTTTCGTTTCAGCGAGGTTGTCAGTCGATCGTGTGTCAGCTACACGCAGAAACTACGAGCGTCGCTCTAAGCATTTGTAATCGAAGGACGTGAACATTTTTGTGTTAGGATCGTTTCCATCGAGCTACATACTGAATTCACGGCGCTACTCGAACGCTACGTAGATCAAACATTATCAACGATACCGAAAGTAACGGATGGATCGTTCGCCGAGTCTTAAACTCAAGTCCGATATCTTCACCGCAGGTACTAAAGGAACGTTTCCGCACATGTACATGTATATATGACCATATTTGCGTATAGGTGTATGTGTATAAGTCGTTCAATATACTCATGGATGCGTAAACTTCCATGAGTGCTTATTCCGAGGAGTTACAAAATATTATAAAAATTCCCATCTCGACAATCAAAGTGTCTACAAGATGTATTTTGCATGTATTATGTATGCATGACTAGGACTATGGCGCACGACTTTGCTCAGACCTTTGCTTGGCCCGCAAACAAGCAGAATCGGTCAATCATCAATCAATCGAGCGATATTCTCGATCTCGCAACGAACGATGTTGATACACGGGAGAAACTGTCTCACCAAATTTCACCGTAATATAAATTGGCATTATGGTTGTACTCTTAAGTTGCCAAAAAGATCAACACGTTGAGTGCCACGCCAGACAATGACGCATAAGTTCATGCAGGAAATCCCTTCCCCCGATTGTGAATCCCCCGTTTTATTTACTCAATTAAGGAAAATTTTACCAAATATTATAATATTTTAGCTTCACTGCGAGGGTGATTCATGAGGTTGGCAATATATTAGAGCCATACCACTCAAAAATGTTGGGCAATTGCGATGCAAAACTAACACTCGAATCCAGCGTGACAGTCAAAGCATTCAATATATGCACAATATTTTTTAAATTTGATTTCTGAAAAATCATACAATTATTCATGAACTTATATAATTGCAAAACAAAGAAATATGGTAAAAGTACCAATGTCTAGACCCTAATAACTTGTACCTAACTCTGGACAAAACTTATTGTTTTAGTCTTTAAATACAAATATTTAAATTTTCAAAATATAGAATACATATATTCTGCGTTTAAATATTCCTATTTACAAACCAAAACGACAAGAATGCCCAGAATTAAATACTAGTGTTGTTAGTGTCCAGATATTGATGCTTTTACGTTACACAGGGGAAAGTCAAGTGCAAAAAGTGTGAGTGCTCTCCGTTTAGTGCCACAAGTCGACACAAGCATCACCTTACTTTTGTTACTCACTGAATATTAAATAAAGATAGAATGAAGCTCAACTTGTGTCACCAAGTGGAAAGCACCCCACAGAGCCGTTTTGTATTTCTAATAAACAAATATAAAAAATAAGCACAATATATTGATCATTCGTCATCATTCGATGCGAGCCGATGCAAGAAACGAATTTGTCGCACGGAAGCGGACACAGCGTGTGTATCCCTCATCAAGTAGACTCACAGCGATCGTAACGGAACGTATTTTTACCTAGTATATACAAGTCTGGGCTGCGAGAGAAGACCTTGCGATTAATCGTCCCGAAATGTGCGCCGTGTCGCTCGTTTACGGAAATTTCGCGTCGGACTAGGAGCGGACCCGATTTTCAGGTGATCGTTTACTGAAGAATATAACATCCGCTGCTCTCGACTTCCTTATTCAAACGCGACGTCCGATATTTATACCTATGTCTCTCTTTTCTTTACAAAATTTCTGCCTAAGACAAAATTTACATCCTCGACATTGACAAGCGATATTGACGCAATGCTTCGCGTCGGCACGAAATTTATACGAAGCTTCGAGATGCTTCAGAGGCAGAGATATTCGTATAAGTACGTATCTATCTAATTACAAGATTCAAGTGTTAAAAGGAGACCGAACATAGCGAACATGATCATAACGTGTGCAAATCAATCGTGTGTTTCGCGACACGCTTTCTGCTAGAGATACGTCCTTAATCGGTACCGAGCATCCATCGCAACGCAATCTGCAAAATAGAAGGTCTCGTGTCAAATTTTCGTATCGGTTGCAAAACTAATGCTCTTGAATCATCAGCCTCATAAATTTCGGCTAACGTAAGATCAGAAATAAATGAACTAATTGGATAAGACTCAACTTAATTAGATATATTATATCAAACATAACGTTTAATCTCTCGTTTTAATTAATTAAATGAAGTCAAATGTGACCGAGATGAATAGAATCAAAGAATCCATGTTTTCGATACATAAATGCGTCCTCTCTTAAGAGATCTGATTTGCACGATCATGAGAAAAAATTTGCACGATTATAACATAGAATTATACAGCAGCGTAAGCAGGTACCAATTAAGGATGAATATACTTCTATTTAACCATAAAAATCATTTCTCCAAACGCTACACTCTCCTTTGGCCAACTATACATACCTATCTAACGTTTAAATAGCGAACAATCAAACAAACGAGTGACCTATATGAGCTCAAACCACAATCCAACATTTGACGATCTTCACGAACGCATCGAGAATCGATCGCAGAAATGTGCAAAATCTATTCATGCTCCGCGTAAGCCGCACGGCGTCTACAATAAAAACAAGTCTACACAAGTAACTCTCTAAGACCCGATGATCAAAGAGGTCGTGTACTTTCAAAAGATTTCCTCCCCCTCTGAAAGAACGGCTGATTCTTACTCGATTCTCGAGAAGACAACGGTGGATTACTTGAAAATGTATAAAAAAGAAACAAAGCCGAGATTACCCACGCCTAGATTTATGCTAGTCTTTACTGCGACGTATATAGTATCGGACACATCGCCCCCAATCAAAAAAACGCGGCGCTTTCTCACGCGGTCGCCGCATAGGAAAAAGTTTCCGATTAATTTACTCTAAATGATAATCCATGCCGATGATCGTGATCTATTTCGAACTACTTGGCCGCGAGAACGTCCTAAGAACTTCGTAAGTTTCATTTTCGTCAAATGTGTTACGCTTCATGTTATCTCCATGGGATTAATCGTATCGTCCTAGGCGGGAAATGTTTCGTGTGTATGCCTGCAAAACGGATCGACACGATCGGTCTTTGTTTTTTTATCATATTCGGCCGAATGGCTCTATACGCCGGAATCGAAAGATATTTGCGATGAGCGTTGTCACGTGCTGAAGATCTCGCGTGACTGCAAATATCTTTCTCGAATCTTTCGTGATATTTTTAGCATAAAAACAAATCGAAGATCTAATTACAAGTACCTAATTACAAGTAGCTGAATGCCGATCCACGTCAATCGCAACGTATCAGCGCTGCATAGGTGAGTACTTGAAAACGGCACTCATTGGCTTCTTACAAAGGCTTCTTACAATATTTACATGATGCCGTTGGTGGGAAATGTGAATAAAAATGTGATCTTTCAGCTTTTGTGAGCAATAATTTAGATTCTTAACGTTGTCGCAGTCGCTTCAGAAACGAATTCAATGCTCCAGCTGCAGCAACAAATGGTGCGAGTTCGAGTGATGGTGAGCTGTAATAATATGAAAAATATCCGTCGAAAAGATGTAGCTCTTGCAGCGATGATACAAAAAATTGTATTTATAATACAGTTTATTGGTATCTACCGCGCGCGCGCGACGTAATTTTCATTCACATTTCCGCTGAATAATCATTTTCTTTGAACCTCTCTTAATCTCGATTAAAATTCGTCGAGTGATATAGTGAAACAGTCACTTGCGTTTGTGTACAATTTGTATGTATATATGTATACTATGTACACAAAGTGTTTTCTTCAGTGTGGTGTACGTGTGTGTATGCACTTGTACGCGCGCGCATACACACACGTACACGCGCATACACACACGTACACGCGCACTTTTAGCATAACTCTAATAAAATGTATAAACACCTTGGCGGCGCGACAGATCGTCGAAGCGCCCGATCGTAAACTTTCAACGGATTCAGCGCACCAACATTATCCGATCTCGAGCTATCGTCAGCGTATCTCATCTCACAAATAAAAGATTCCCCAAAACGCCTCGTCTCTACGTTAATTTGTCTAATTTAATTACGTGATCGCGATGGTAAATATCACTACGTCGATCGTTAAGTCGCTACGTCCGCCGTCACAGTCGCGACGGCAGATTTCAGTTTCTACGATCAAATTCGAGAGATTGCGGAGCCGCATCGATCGTGGATCGCTCCTCAGCGGTGATCGTAAGGTTATGGCGGCGACGTTTGCTGCCACGATCGACGATCGAATTGAAATCTTTGCTTTCGTTAAAGCTCTGGTTTTGCTTCAATTACGAGCGGAATTAGCTGTTACGTCGATCATAGGTCACTTTTCTACACAATCATTAAACTGTTCTCAATTGTAATCAATCGTCAATTATCATTTCGCTACAATTAGACTCTAGAATGGAAATCAATTGTTTCTCGTAGACTCCAGTTTCTCTCGATCACGAGAAGAAATCCGCGTCGATCGCCGATCGATGTTTCACATAAAGATTTGGTTTTGGGGCCCAGGAGGAGTCGGTGCAGGGAGTAAGGCCCCAGGGCTCTCTTCACTTTCTTTCGAGTGCACTTTCTATCTTGGTCTCTTCGTTCCACGCGATTATCTCGCGCGTCTACTAGTGTCGTCGAGCTGGTTCCGCAAATGGGGTTTGTCCTGCGTGTACTGCGATGACAAGGACACTGGAAGATCGTTTCGACTCGACCAAAGCTCCTGTCAGGAAGATCGCTCGACCAAACGATCGTTATCATTATACTCGAATCCTTAATTAAGTGTTTGCAATGATTTCATTCGATACTTCGACTCTCGCGCGTGAATGTTGGAAGAAGTCCATCGCAATGATTTTAGGGTTTGGCAAGTAATACGTATCTAGAAGTAAAATCCATCAAAGACACGAGTGTGTGTCGAAGTGTGTACATGAAGGGATTTTCGATTAACAATAATCAATTAATTCCAAGATCGATTCTAGGATGAAATTCCAATTGTCAATTTAACATGAAGGACATCTCGTCGAGTGCGTTGAAGTCATCCTGACAATTTGTCGCGATTTCCTTCGCACGCGTGTCTGAGACTTGTGAGAGAAGATTCGAGAGCAAGTACAATATCTCGCGCGAAGAAGTGTGCAGGGTTCTCGGTTGAGTGTGCGAACGACATTGAGTAGGGTGCTCAACGAGGAGCACTGGATATAGCCAAGTATGTATCTTTCGATAACGTTGTTCTTCCTCGGTATAAAATGGGCATAAAAGGATCTCACACGAGAATGCAATATAGATATATCATCATCTCGATTATGGTTAACAGTCACGGTGTGTCAGCATTAATAGTGTGCAGTTGACACTGACAATCGTTATGATAGATGGTTGACATGTTCGACATAATACAGCCAGAGTTCTTAAATGTAGCATACGTCACGTTGGGCAAGTACACTTCTATGATATTTGTGCGAGTGGATTGTTCGGTAGTGTATGATCAACGAGTAGCATAACTCCGCGATCGCGGATAATATCGTCATGATAACATTGTCAGAGTAACACGCGACATTGATTGAGGTTCGTTGACGAAGCGAGACGCGACGTACAGACGTGAAAATATGTTTCCGCAGGTACTGGTGACGTGTGCGAGTTGCAATTGGTGGTGCGCTGACGGGACTCGTCCGCGCGGGAATAACGATCTTGGTTTTGTGTTTTGTCTTTACACGTAGTTCGACGATAAGCGGCTTGGTTATCGGAGTGAATGTTGGCCTAGGTAACCACACACGTGCACGCTGTTGATGAATGCTAGCATATCAGAAAAGGAAAGAAAAACTTTCTTATCATCAAACGGTCTTTGTTGATTCGTTGTTAACACGTTGAGTGCCATGCCGTTCTCACATTCTGCGTGAACTTCTGCAGAGCCTCCGTCGTGATCCGTCTGCAAATGACGGTCTTATTTGTTCAATTGGAAATGATTTACCAAAATATTCCAGCCGATCAAGTGCAACAGTTGGTAATATGTTCGGCATAGACATAAAGAACGATGAAACATAAGCAATAATCGGTTAGTCACATTCGAGAACAATCGAGAACTGTTATGGTGAAATTCTCAACTGTGATGGATCAATTTGTTTACTAAAGCCTCACTTTTAAACAATTGTAACAGAATCGTGCACGACAGACATAGAATTCGGGCCTAATGGGACTCACACTCGAATCCAGCATGACGGTCAAAGTGTTAATGAAGCGTAATCACATACAATATAGAATCGATAGTGGACTTTACTGAAATACCCGGCAATGTAAAGGAATATTAGTAAATAGTGACAAACATTGTAGTAGTGTTGCAGATACAGGAGCTTCCGGAAGATAAGGGCACACGCTCTAAGCGTGTAAGAAAATACTCCGACAGTTACGTCGCAACTGAATCATCAGTGATCAATGATGAGGTCTTTATAATTACTATTGCAAGCAGCGCGAATGAAGTGCAAGCGCGTGATGCAGAAATAGCGTGCACGCTGCTGGCGACCGGTAGCGTATAGACAGCGAGATTCCCTAATTGGACGAATACGCGGAGATAATTGTCAACGGTTCTTTTTTTTTCGAGGTCATCGAGGTGCGTTCGGATAGAATCGATATGAGATAGTGTGTTTTAGGCTCGCTCGGTCAAGAGCGCGCGGAGATGGCGTGCCAGCCGATTTACTGCTTCTCTCGTTTCTCTTTCTAGCGAGTAGCGCGACAGGAAACAGCCCCACTAACAGAGCGCAGCGATCTTATCGCGAGGTAGCGTTGCGCACTTCCTACAATCGGTAGCGTTACCGGGAGGTGAGCTCACTATAGGGCGGTGGTGCGCAGGTGGGGACAGCGCTGTAGCGACAGGCCCCGGGGCCCCAGCTCCTAAATAGCGTTAAGAGCACGCGAGTCCTGCTGCTGACGACGCCTCGAGGCACTGCCATAATCGACGCCGTATTCTTCCTCGGTGCCGTAATCGTGTTCCCCGCGATCGCCCCGATCACGATCCATCCGTTCCAGCCGCGATCTTCTCGTTCCGCCGCTGACATGTCCGCCGCTGTATGAGCCCGATCCTGCGTCAAGTAGAAAAACATTAGATCGTGTTGCTACGAATTGTGATGTCCGAGTGTTTTGCTCAAGCGGTTTGTGATTTTGGCAAGATTTCTTTACTGACAAAGAAGATTTGAGAAGTGATGATCACAACATTTTATTGATATTTTTCCAGACAGCACAAGATCTCTAAAGAATGTCCTGGGGACGTTCTCAAGATGTATGAACGTTCTTAGAATGTCTTTGGGATATTTTGTGAAAATCTGGACTGTTTATTTTCTTCTTTGAAAAAAAATCCGTAAAAGTATCTTATTTTTTAACTATCTAAACCAAAACTTCGTCTTAAAGAGAACATTTTACTTATTTTGAATTCTTTTTTTCTGTGCTTAATTCTATTTTTTCATAAAATGGAATTCAATGCATTAAGACTAAACAAGTTCAAGTTTCACTAGGAGGAAGTTATTTACATATACACATTCTTCAAACTCTATCCTATGAAAAGAAAAGAACGGCAGCCGAGTCATGAGTGGTTATCGTTGCGAGCAACAGGGATGAGTCAAATTGTCTACGTTGCAACTCATTCGAACATCACGCTACCCAATCCATGCAAGCGTTAAGCGAAAAAAACTGAACAAAAAAGAGAGATATGCCGCAAAGACTCCGACGTTCGAACTACCGTTGCGCAGGTGCGCAGAAATCGAGAAGTAGAAGAGTGTACTTGTGGGTCTGACACTTTGATGAAACCTCGTACATGAATCTCGCGAGATGATAGATCATGTCGAGAATGAGGAAATCCTCCATAACTTCTGTCCTCTCGACTCACGCGGCCACGTCGTTAATCTCTACCGTTAAGCTATTCTATAGTCCTACTCTATGTGAGAGGGGTTGGTGAAGGGCTTATGAAGTATTCCAAATTAAACAAGGAGATTGATAAAGGCAATAGCTAGACTCCCGATCATGACACGTTAGAAACTTCGACTTAACTTTGCGCAATCAAGGGATAATGATGAGGGAGCTACAGATTACGGTATGTCAAAGCCAAACTTTGACCTCAATGAGATGAAACCAAATTCAAAATCACAAGTATAACTAACACAATATAAAAATTTATAAAATTTCATTTCATTTCAAAATAATATCTATCTATAAATAAAAACGCACAAAAGATAATAACAGGTTATATTAATTAATTTCAGAAGAAAACAATTGAATGATTAGCAACACAATTTTAAGCGTGCCCTGACCGGAAGTTCAATCGAAATATAATATAATTTTATTGGGATAAAGAAGTTGCTATCTCTCTCTCTCTCGTGGACAAAAATAAAAACAAAAAAAATTAAATTGGATAACAGTGGCGTAGTTGAGTCAATGCAGCAGCAGTCCGATTTTAATTACTTTTTACAATTTTTATATCTGTTTAAATTAATTTAACAAATGCACAAAAAATATAATATAATAAAATATAGGTAACATAATAATAATTGTAATATATACGAATTTGTTTCGAAATTAATTTTTTTGTCTAGAATTATGTAACATAATTAATTAAAAAAAAAAATGTTATAATAATGACTATAAAGTTCCGAATCTAAATTCTCATATTCTCACAATTTCAAGATTCAAAAGCGTACTTTTAAGTAAAACACAGGCGTAGAGAATAAAACCATCACATAATTTACAAGTCTTATATTCTACGTGAGAATCTTTTTAACTGCTATCTGCATGATGAATCCGTAGTTACTTCACTGCATAAAGGAGGATAAAGTAACAGGGGTACATAAATCATGTTCTCTGCTCGAGAGAGACGGAATCGGGTCGGTTCCGTGTTTCCGGACCCATGCACCAAACCCATCTGTACTTACTACGCGCCCTCACAAAGGTATCCCTATTACACAGTCCCTAATTCTCTCAACCGCATCCACCCGGAATTAATATTCACGGGCCGGACGGAGTGTACAATTTTGCCGGTCTACGCCGTAAAATCGCATCCGCGATGAAGGAGGAAGTAGAAGCGGCCGCACAACGACAGGTATGTCCCGTTCGGGCCTTCTTAACTCGATTGTTTCGTCTTGGTCTCGTCACCGCGACCATAGTTGTACTGGCTCTCTTTTCGGATGATTCCCGTGGCAGCCACCGCCTCCACTTTTACACGTAAACAAAGAGAACATCGGAGTCAGAGCTCGTTGCTGACGACAACAGGGCTGATGATCTGTGTGTGCTTTTTGCGGCACTCTCGCGAGTAAAATGTCTTTCGCGAATTCTTTTACACCTTGATGCATATTGCAGCGCTACGTAGAGGACACAGAAACTCGTGATAATTACGGGTATTTGCAAAGGGAACAAATAAGAGCGTGAAATCAAACGAAATTATCATTGGCTCTCTGCTTCGCGTGACCACTTGACAGCTTTGGCGTTAGTTTGGCGTAGCTTGGAAGCATGCGTAGATCTTGAAAATTTTCGTTTCAAATATTTATGATTTTCGTAAAATTGGTACGTAGAGAGTGCTCGAAAAAATCAACCCAATTTTCCTAAAAAAAAAAATTTGGAAGTAAAGAAACATTAGTAAGTTTTTCGAACATAAAATTCCACGCTTGCAAAGTTCCTCTATTTTCAGAAAATTTAGGATAGTCCTTTTTTTAAGAATTAAGATTATCATTGTGTTTGGGGATTCGCACATGTTCAACACTTTAGTTGATATTTATAAAAAAGAAATACTTGTGACCGTGCTAATAGACAGCGCAGCGTGCACGATGTAAGTTGCGATTAAGTACGATAAACATGTTTAATGATTATTTAACATATATCAAGTACGAAGGGAAATCTTTTCGTGGCTGTACGAAAAGAATCGGGGGAACGATTGCACAAGTAAAAACGAAACGTAAAATTATCCGCACTAACAGGAAAGAATAAACACGCCCCGGTCTCACTGCACTGGATACATGTTCGTTTCGACTTCTACGTTTGACCCATACATTGCCGCTGAAAAGAAATATAACGTCAGGATAAAGTGATATCGATTCGATAACAGACGGATACGTGTTAATCGGTAGAAACAATTTTAGTTGTCAGAGTCGTCTTGCCAATGTGTGCGTGTGTGTGTGTGTGATATAAAGTGTAAAGTTTGAAGACTGCTAAATAATATCGATGGATCCTGCGAATTGTCGATTAATACATATTGCACATCAATTGAAAATAAAATTACAAGTAACATCGAAAAGCACGAATAAGTTACATGCTTTATATGTGTAATGTGTTAAAAAAAAATAAGAGACAACATTAAATAGGTCCAAAATAAGTAAATAAAGAGGATATTAAAGAGGATGTTTGTGAGAGATACATCTAGAAAGTGATATTAATAATAAATTTTTATAATATCAACATAGTTCGTAACAATAGTTGCAAAGGTCCCAATGGACAGGATGCAGTAGCTAATTTAGAATGCAGCTGTGTGTTACTAGCGAGTCTTAGAGGATAGATCTCTACTTTCAAAGGTGGATCCGTGCAACGTTGACGTGCAACTATCTCTAGTGATGTACGTTGCTGGGTGAACGTAAAGACAAAGGGCACGAGTGTATACAGAGATGTGCTCGAGGAAAAGGTTGGGTTACCTCTTGGCTCGTGACCGTAGTAACTCTCGTGATGAGCACCTGAGAGAACAAGAAGAAAGTGTCGAGTGTTAGTGACAAAATTGGGGCTCGTTAGACTTTTGAATGGATTAAAAAGCGCGAGCGGGGTTAGAGCATCGAAAGAGGACATTTGGAGAGGACGTCTGAAGAGAATATTTGAGTGGCAGCAATTAATAATACGAGTCTTTGACAATATTAAATACTTTGCGGAAAACTTGACAGTCATTTCCTCGAAGCCAGTATCTCGGTCTGTCTCAGGTATTCTCAAACTCGTTTATAGATAAGACCAGCTTCCGGTCCCTAATGCCAAAAACGTCGGTTCACGTATTACGCGTCAATTTATATTTTGCCAAATGATGTCGCTGCCAAAAGCGATATATCGTTGCACTCGGCTCTACGTTGTTCTTTGCTTTTCTCGATGATCTTGGATAATCTCCATCCAAAACCATTACGAGTAACCGAAGTATTGGCTCCTCTGTATTGATATTTTACACCGGTGCTATTTAAAATCTCTCAGTGTCTCTCGTGACAAAATCTGTCATTGTTTACGACAAACGTATACGTTCTTGGCCGATTTGGAAATCTACGAATGTAACGTCATGTCATTGACGCACAAATATCTCAAGTATGTTTTCGTAATGACACTATATATGTCATTGTAAATTGATTTTCAATTAATAGGAATCAGTTGTCTCACTTATTCTCGATGTCTGTTTGGAACGTTTGCGATTTTAGGAATTCTCGAAATAATTTATACAGAGATGATTAATAACGTCTAACTGATCGTGTTAATCATAATACCTGATGGCACGCGTTGCGTTAATGTATCTACAGGTGCATCAGATGCTGGCACGGCATGTGGCACCGAAGAGATGTCCGGCGGATGCGTAGCTCTCCAATAAGCTTCCAGGTACTCGGCTATGTGCTCGCATGCTTCCTCTAGCTGATTCTCGTCCAAGATGACGTCGAACATCTCCGGCGGACACTGTGCCAGCTTATCCGCGGCCACCATTTGTACGTTTTGATGACGTATCTGCGACTTTCCTCGGGTCTTGATTAGCCTTTGCAGAACTTTCGGCGAAGAAATCTTCAAGTAAACGATCGTGGGCGCCAGGCTGGTCTTCGCCAACTGCGAAGGGTGGTTTATGGTGTCGCAGTCCAGAACAACTAACTGGAATTGTGTTAATTAAGATTAGGCAAAGTTCATTCACGATATCTCAAAATTAATATTCAAATTATATAACCTAAATAAATAGCTTTTTGTACGTTATTCTAATGTAAGTGTATTTCTTTACAAACCTGAAGAGTCCTAGCAAGCTCGAAAATCCTCTCGATCTCTTGCTGAACTTCTGCTAAACAACTGCTCCTACTGGTTGACCGCTCCATGATCGCTCTTTTAGTTGGATTGTTCAACAACGACCTCTTCGCTAACGAAATATCCGCCATTACCCTCGTGATTATAATCCTATAATAATCAATTATTATTACGCAATAAAATCTGCAATATTTAAAAGAAAAATGTATATCATAAACGTTACTACAAACTACAAACTTTTAGGACACATCAAGAATAGAATGACAAACACAAATGTTAGAGATTAGTAATTCTGTAGTACTTGATAAAACGGCGCGCTCACTGTGCGCAGCATATTATAGCAGCAGCGCGTACTATAACTAGATTTAGCTATACACAAACGATAAAAAGATTTAATGAGAAGAGACGCCCGTACTTCTTCTCATTGGTCCCAAGGAAGAAGTAGCCTGCTTAGAAATAATAGAGCCGATGCTTAAAGGGTCGACCGACCTGCCTTCGAAGCGATGTTTGAGAAAATCGAAGAGCGCCTTCTGCATCATGTCCGTCACTTGGTAGCCCTTGAGCGACGGTCCAACCAACACCACAGGCCTCATGGAGGGTACCACGTCGTAGGGTGCTGTCGTCTCCTGGAAAACCGAACAATCGGTCAGTCTGACCAATTGAGATGAGCCCCGTTCACCGGGATCAGCCCCAGGATAGTCTCACTTACATAGGACTGCGTGAGCACGGTATGCAACATTGAAACATTGAAATCAGTTAATGGCCACGTCGACTTGACACATGCGACCTTCTGCACGGCCAAAGTCCTTCCCCCGAACGAACAAACGAACGCCCGCGAGAGATCCTCTTGGAGCACCGAAGGTACTTTGGCCAAGCAGCGTGTTAGTAACTATTGATATATCGAGCTAAGGTATTAACAACCTCCTACGAACTAATCGTTTCGGCTCTAGATTCTACTGTATGATGACGATAAAACGATCCTCCCCACGATGCGCGGCATCCGATAGAGATGATCGCTGGACGAATGCTGAATGCGTGGTGACAGCGAATAAACTGATCAACGTTGTGCTAATGCGTAACAATATTTACCAGTCATTGCCGGAAATCGTCCCACATTCAACATTACATACACTGGCACCATGTGATCACGTGTCGATCCTGTTATGGGGATGATTCGTAGAAGAGACATTTGGCAATAATAGAGACTTCAATCGAGAACAACATGGCCCAGTGAGACTTTAAATATAAAATGCTCTAAATATGAGGGAATTATATTACAGAGCAAGCACGTTATTATATTAGTCGTCAAGGTACGACAGAAAATAACGAAAGTCTCTCCAAAGATAGTTATTTTGCATACTTTTGTCTGAAAGAAATTTCTCTTGAGTATAATAGGCTTATTTTAACAAAATTGGTCTGCGTCGATCTTCGCTCATGGAGCTTGTAAGCCACAGGCTGTCAATCACAGTTTACATCTAAAAATTTCGTTATGGCGTATTTCACTTGAATGTCTTAAAAAGATTAATCACGCATATTTTAAAACACGCGTCAGCTTAGAATAATATTTTTAAGACAGAATATACGTGTGGACTTTAATAGTAATCGCGAACACACATCTACATACACATGCACATTTACGAAAATAATTCTACATGTGTTCAGGAGGACCATGATATCTTTTAGCGTCGACTGGTAAATTTAGCTTCTTAGGCAGCGTCCATATACGATAACGTATTCAATGAAAGACGAAATTCTTGGTATCGACGTTATTTCTGTGCCACTAAGATTCAATTTCTTATTCTCTGGCAATTTCTTCAAGATATTATAAAGCCTTATCGGCAGAGATAAATTACGAATAATTCGACATGGACAAAGCCTAAAGCCACAAGGTCGATTTAGCCCATAGCTACGCAAGGATCGTCTGTACGCAAGACTAGCGTGAGTAAAAGTGAGTAATCACGCATTCACTAAGCAGCGTTTAATTTCGTTTTCTTTGTAAGAAAAGTAAACGAGTCGAGCAATAATCAACATCGACTCAAATAAGCCGTAAAAGTATGGACTTTCTAAATTTCATCAATCTGACATCTAGAAATGTGATTTTTGCTTTTATGCATGATGACGTTGAACATCACACTCCGTTCAGTTTACGTACAACCCGATCCAAGTGCATAGTAAAAGCTCAAAAATCAGAAGAGTAAGATGTGCATGGTGCATTAGATATTCGCGACACCGTGACTTGCCGAGTGTTTACCGGCTTTTTGAAGAAGTTCTTCCTCTTCTCCTTCGCGGGTGGGGTCGTCAGGGTGGTCTTGCCGGGCCGCACGTTCCCGACGCTGTCGCTGTCGTCACCTGTCAAAAGAATATGTTCAACATTACTCAAAAATTTTGCTTGTGTCTGGAGCAATCGACGAGTCCTTCTTTCTCTCAATGAAGCTATTAAGCAGCACTCAACTGATGATACAGCCTAGATGTAGTAATTTGGTAATTTATGCTCGATTCTGCTTGTGGTAGCGACTATTGAGGTTTAGCTAGGACAAAATCGAATATTGCACGTGCGTTGGTGAGTGGCACGAATACGGTGACTTACCTTGATGACTTTAGCAATGAAATAGAAAGTAAGTAGAGCATGTATGAATTAGCGGATGCAGTAGTGAACAATTTCCTTCGCATGAGAGCAGAAATGGAGACGCTCGCACTTCCATGTGAACCGCAAGATACAAGAGAGAGAACTTCAATGTCGCCTTATTTATCTCTGGCAGATTTTAATCAAATTGACGTTAAATTCTATACGCTTAACATCATGACGGTAAAAGTCATGGTCCAGGTAGTCTTATTCACTTGCGGATCACATAGGGCTCGCTACGATCTAAAATGTCTCGGGACGATATAAGCGATGGAAGCTGAAAATTGTGTATCTGATGTAGTGGGATACTTAGGATCTCAAGCGGAAGTTATTCATCGTTTTTATCTTTAAAACCGGCCTGTAACAATGTTCCGTCCGCCTGTAATTCACTGTCGAGGATCGACGAGGGTCAAGCTGATAGAGTTCCCGATCAGGTACACCAGGTTGGATACACCATAAGTTTTGGGGGAAGAAAGAAGGACGTGCTAGGGTACCTGGCGTAGGTGGTGTGGAACCACGTGAGGGCATACCACTCTCAAGGTTCCCTGAAGACCCTCGCGCCAAGTAGAGACCCTTCGTGCCACGCGCGGCGTTCGCCTGCAACCTTAAGGCCTCCAGCTTCACCGGTGACGGGATAAAACCCACGTCGCAGTTCTCTTTCACGAGCCTGCCGATCCACCAGTTGTTGTCGTACTTTTCCTGCAAACCGATTCATAGGTGAAGAGAGGATCGACAGAATATACGATAGGAAGGAAAAGACAGAATGAATGTGCGCCCGCACCTTGATGTGAAGAAAATCGCGAACGTCAAAGCTGACGGCCGAGCCGTGGACGGGTGAATCATCGTCGACGGATCCGTCATAGCTCACGTTGGTCCGCACTGCAAACGCTACCGGCTTCGTCTGAAATATAAATTACACAATTAGCACACGTAACGCATTTGTTCATTTAATCAGTTGTCATAGCTTTATTTGTATTGATAAAAATCTTTACTTTTGATCTTAATTTGTAAATTACGCATTGCAAAATACATTATTGTATCAGCGTAAAACTCAAGCTCAATAGAGTAAACTAGATCACTTTTCATTGTGATACATCAGTGTGTGTTATTTTGAAAGAATTTTTTTTGCAACGGAAGAGATTCGGCCACGATTATATACTTTTCCGCAGTAAGAAAACACGAGCCGCGATTATCAACTTCCATGACAATCGCAGTGTCGTCGCGTACCACCGTGTTTAGTTACGTCTCATCGCCCCTTCGCCCGTGTTATCGACTTTTCTATCGGGTCACGGTACAGCCCCTATATCGCAATGTGTACACAAACACGGATAACTATATCGCGTGTGTGAAGTGGAAAATAAAAGCCGGCCACTGACGACGAGCTTCACGGCCGATCGACACATTGTCAGCTATGCGTGGACGCATTGCCAGTGACAACACCATCGCTTTAATAAAGAATAAAAGACTATTGCAGGGAACGATGCGCGAAGCTCTTCATTTTTATTACGGCAAGCTGTCCCTCGAAGGTCGTCTCCCGCCAATCAATATCCGTTCGCTAAGTCGAAGAAGACTGAACTAATCGGATTTTTGTATTGGACATTTGTGCAATTTCGTAACTTCACTTGCACCTGCCGCATGATGCCTGTATTCTTCATTACGTGCTGCGAGAAGAGATTTTCGCAAGTCATCCTACTAATTTGATTTTTCCACTAAGGAAAAAGTATGTAATATTCATAACTATAATTAGAACTATAATTCATTCGTAGTGAAAGAATTATAGTCTGAGTAACAATTGCTTTCTGGTGAACGATACTATAATGCTAGTAATACATATATTGATACTACACTGAGAGAAAATATATAAAAAATAAAAGATATAAATAATGTTTTAATATCATAGAATAAAATAATATAAATACATAAATAAAAATATAATAAGAGTAAATATTAATATAACAGTTGTGTTTAGCATATGCTGTTTGTGTCGTTTAAATTTTATGAGCGGAATTTATTTCTAATAAAGTTCAAGAGACACGGGTTAAGAGACGTGTAAGTTAAGATATTTCGAAAAATGCCACTCACATTTTTCTTGTGAAATAACTCTCGATATGTGGGCATCGAATTTCGCTACGTTTAAACATTAAAAACTGCAACACTCATGTAAATCTTAGGCCAGGTCGTACTTTTTTCGCAGATTTATGTTCATGGCTTAGAGAGCAAGCGCGAGAGGAAGTTACGCGAAGCGTCTGATTGGCACTACGCCCCGAGCCTCGTCCTATTTTTTTTTTTTTCTTTCGCTTCCTATCCCGACATTACGTTCCGTCGCAGACGCATCCTGCCCCGTCGCTTCTCATGCAAATCCACGGTGTTTATGACGCGACAATGAAATACGGCGACGATGATGAGACATCCGTTCGATCGATAAAGGACAATCTAACGCGCGCGAAAGGAAAACAGTGCAAACCCCTGTTAGTAGCACGCTGGAGCACGCTAGAACACACGAAGAATCAATCTCACTCACCCTGGCTTTTTCGAGTTGATTGAGAGCCTGCTTCTCCTTTTCGCGTCTCAAGCTTTCCTTCTCCTCGTCCAGCGAGAGATCCGAGCTCGGCTGCGAGTAGTTCGAGTCCGCCGAGCCCTAAAACCAGACAGATCGTCTATTAGATTTAATCGCGAAAAGTCACACGCATCTAAGAAGTTTCAGGACACAGAAGAACATTTGCCAATTACTTGTGTATATTAATATAAACCAAGTAACTTTTCCATACAACAGCTTCTGTGGTAAAACGTTTTCGTTCGCGGCAAATGGTATTTCATATTTCTGTTGTCTTTGATACGTGACATTGAAAGCCTCCCGTTGAAACTTAGACTGTGTGAAACAGTTTCAAGAAATTTCAAGTATCGATTTATCACTACTGCAGCACATATATATATATGTGATATTTCAAGCGAATCGGATGACGTGACTTTCCAAATGAAGTATTCCAAACAATATATCTCGCTTAGCAACCGCGTGGTACCCTGTGATTCAAACTGAATTCTTAAAATGCTACTTAGAGTACAGTTATATAAAAAAAATACCAACACTGACGCACCAGCTGCGTCTAATATTTCTTCAATCGTCCGATACTTCCAGAATAGTTTTACCCCCCCTGAGAAACAGTATATTTAAACACTATTTATCCACCCAGTGTAATCATGTAACGCAAAATGCAACTTTGTCCATGAGACCGTGAGTGATAAGGTATCCTACGACGTAGTTCATTACGTCTATCACACCCTACAAGCGCCGACGATGATTCCCTTGTAACAAAGGAAATCTGTCCAATAAGAGTTGATTAGTCCCTGTTAAGATTAAATCCATTGATCGGGCATAGGAAGGAAGACCTACACGTGTCCGATGTGCGTAGCCATAAATACGTAATTGAGGCTGACGTAAAGTTCGATTTACACGTCGATAAAATTCGATAACAACTTGAAAGCAATTTTCTAATCGTTATTTTCATGGATTGGTAATCGTATATTTTATTATTTCTCAGAATAATTGTCATACAAAGTATAACTATGTTTCTATTGGGTACAACACAACAATATAATTATTTGAAATTAAAAATAATGGTGAAAAAAATAAACTAATATTTTCACTTGGAAAAGTTTTCTGAACCCTGTAGCATCTCAAGCAGAACTTGAATGAAGAACATGAGAAATCAATATAGAGGAGGTTTTTCTTTTTATTTTTTGATTGAATTATGTTTGAAATTGCAATAAAGATTTTTCTGCTACGTAGTCACACATACTACGTTATCTGTGTATTCCTTCACAATGCGATTGTATTATTCTGTGTTGCTCTCCATTGTTCATTTATTGCCCATTATGCGCAATTTAGACAAAGAAAAAATTATAAAATCATCGAGACCGCTTCGATATCTGCTGGCAATTCCTCACTTCAAAGGAGCTTTTCGAGAAACGAATTCACTCGGTCGTAGCGGGTCGTAGCCATGCCAACGGCCTTTACTCACCACCTCATGACCGGCGCGTACCGGCCCTGTAAATGTGTATACATGCGTGCCCTAAGCTGCTGCGATCTATGAAATGATAGCAAGACTTTCGGTAAATAGAAGATAGACTCAGATGAATTTGATATGCCCAATGATCTTTTGAAAGAATCGTGATATGTTGATTTTAATTACGTTGCTATGCACTGCTAACTAAATGTTTAAATGAACGTGTTAATAACTCTAACACCTGTCACGTTTTATTTCTTAGAAATTGTTTGACAGATGTACTTGATATATTTACTTTCACTCTCAGTGTAATAATATTTATTTTGGTACATTATAACTGTACTATATTATATTAGTGAATTTTGAATTGCAAATTATAAAAATGTCAAATGAGGTCGACATAAAGACGTAAGACTTCATCAACGACAGTCAAATAAAACATCATGTCTGAGAAAAATGAACCAAGGACAGAGAGCCTCAAGGCCAGTAGAGTATAGCGAAGCTTGATTTTATGCTAAAAAAAAAAAGAAAACTTCGATCGAGCGCGCGGTCGACGTAAAGCGTCGCTGCGTTGCAACGACAGCACGGATGATCGCTTCTGCTTCACGCCACACTGCTTAATGCGAGCCTTAAACGATACGTTGCAGAATATCCTCCACGTCTGGGAAACATTGAGTCTTTGACGTGAGCGAGCACTTTTCCTTGCGCCTCCTTGCTCAAAGTGCGGTCCCGATAGTCAGTTATTTTTGTACGGGTACCTTCCTTGCCGCATGGAGTGTTCCTTGGTGACGAAGTTTAATTACAGTCATTTCTCGGTGAGAAAAAATAAAGAGATGAAAGGCGTTGTTTTCTTGTTGTATGAACGTAATTTTTTTCTTCGTTACACACCCTTGTGAAAGGCAACGGGTGACGTTGAAGGAAAAAGGAAAGGATAAACAAAGTGCGAAAATAGAGGAAGACACGAAATACTTAATAAAATACGTAGCATCGGCTTGTTGTTTTAAGTCCTGCAATTGTTAAAATAGACAGAGCTGAATCGACACACATTCGCTCTGATCTGAATTTACTCTGACGTAGAAAGACAATGAAATTCCAACAGAGCGTTTCCTGCACTTGCAGTATAAAGAAAGAACGGAAGAATCCATGCGTTTGCGGTGTACCTGGGTGAATAGCTTGTTATAGCCAGAATTGTGTTGACTGTATCCAATCATCGCCGGGACTCGCCACCATGGACGCCGAGGCCGTTCTTCTGATGGTCCTTATCCGCCTACGTCCCGATTCGGATCCGAAATTTGTCCGACTGGTGCTCTAAGCTCTCGCTCAGCACACGCTACCGCATGATTGTTTCACAAGTGTAAGATTCTCGTCGAAATATACGTTTATGTCGCACTGGCGTTCAAAATTCGCGCCGCTACGCCATGTTGAATGGCGCAGTGGCGTGGGGCTCCCCAGAGCTTCCCTCAGATACTTCGTGTCTCGGGCTTTTTTCGTTTTCGTTTGCAAGCCATCCAAACACAAGTCCTAATCTACTCTCGATTGAGTATCATCGTCCAGTAGTCGTAAGCTACGGTATATTCCACATTCATGGCGAATAAAATTCGATTAAAAAATTGTCTCTCTTTCTCCGTTATCAAACTCAGCATAACAGGTAGACCTAGCATTTAATTCGCGCTTCGGCTGCAAGGAAATATATCGTGAGGAAGAAATCATGGAACAACAAAGGACAGACGCAGATCGTAATAGACAGACGCAATGTTGTCAAAATGATTGAATTCAACGCGATATCAATTTTCAAGTCTTAATCACACTTTGTTCTTACGTCAGGAAGTGTTGCACCGCATCTTAAAATTAAATAAGAAGGATCGTCGTACGGAATCGAACCACTCCCCAAACCGACCCATTCTACAATTGACCCGGCCAAATTTGCTTGCGAAGGAACGTGGAACGATTACGAAGAACTTAATGCCACTCCCTAAAATTGTCTGACCTACATCGCCGAAAATGTACACGTAAGCATACAGCATCAATAAATTACACAGCAACGACAGAAGATAAAAATACCTCATACATCAACGTTGGCGATAATTAATAATACATTCTGCCACTTTGGACTTCCTATCTATATTGCTAATAAGATTTTCTTCTAATAGTAACTAGAAGTTTTAACTTTAGTTGTTTTAATACATATATAACTTGTAATTATTATCAAACGATGGATAAGTACACTTACAATATTTTCTGCATCGCAGAAAGAAGCAGAAGATCAATTCATTGATCTTCGCCATTTTTACCGGCTTCTAAAGGTTTCTACAAGGGCTAATAAAACCATTATGTCCATTAAAATCTTATTACGTTCACAAGTCAAACTTCACTTGAGCAATCATGTACTTAATGAGTTTAGTCTGCCATTTTTGCTATGATTCAGCAGATATAAATTCGCACTACTTGGTGCACGAACGTGATCGACGTCTGTTCCACCAATAGCCTAAAATATTCACGTAATCGCAGTCAATTGAAAATTTCATTGGTTGCACAATTCGATAATCCTATTAGGTCACGTAATATAGCGAATATCAGACTGATATAAACGTCGTAACAGGAATTTATATAACAATCTCACTGGCGAATTATTTATACGTCTGCTACACAAGTCGTTTTTTTCTATGAGAAGGTTTTGTTAGGGTGTTGTTGGAATAACAAGTAATCCAGAAAGCAGCGAGAAAAGAAAATAACCAATATTTGTTCAACAATATAATTTTCGTTAAAAAGTGAAACATGTAATAATATTTTTCTCTTTTAACAATTTTTTAATAGAACTCTCTTTTTTTAATGTGAAGAATGAAGATAAATTTTTCCATAGTACAATGCTAATTTCTAATTGACTAAGATTTTCAATTAATAATTTAATTGATGATGTTCTGTTGTATTTGATTTGTTTGTCCGCAGCTTTGACAGCAGCCTTTTCATCTGATTGTCCTCATTGTTGAAGAGTCCTTGAGATAAAGGAGATCAGAGTTTGACTTCAATAGCGCTTATGTAAATCGACTATTTACACGCCTCGTGCATGAAGCTTATATTTTTCTAATATTAATTTGTTAAAAAATCTCATACAGAAAATACGATAATGCGCAAAAATCGTATTTTTCGTATATGCATTACTTCTATATTGAACAAAAATCTCTTAAGAGAATCAATTTTAAAATTTCATTCTCTAGTGATTACTTGTGTGTGTGTGTGTGTGTGTGTCAGTTCTCTCTTAATTATAATATTGTAATATATATAGATATTCATATTTCTAGGAGAATATATTAAATCCGAGAATTGTATTTAACTGACCGAAAAATATGATTTTTTACTTCATTAATTTACTCCAGTAATGTTCAAACAGCAAACTTTGCGATGTGAAACTTTCAAGGAAAGTTGATTATGCACTTGCGTATTAAGATTAAAATTAATATTCTGTTGAAGTAGATATTATAATTGAAATGGAAACATGCAACTTTTAAAACAATTCGATTATGACATGCATTTTGATATAAGATGCAATCGGGAGTTGCAAATTTAATTCCCGACAAATATAAACGACATCATTGCGCAAATAATCTTTTCATAACACTTCAAAGAAAGGGATGTCTACAGTTTTTATTTACCGAATTCATATCATCAAAAAAGCTCTGACGTGTAATAAAAATGAGAAAGTAGAATTATGTGTCAGGTTAAAATACAAAGTGACTCCACATACAGTTATGTGTTGAATATCCTCTCACGAAACTCTCTGATCCCCCCGTATATTTAGATAATTAATTAATTCACCATAAAAATAACATCACAAATAGCCTCGTTACTGGCCTCACATGTCAAACGAAAGTGCAGCAATTCGAGGAAACGAAATCGACTCTTGAATTATCAACTTCATTCTGGAACAATCGATACTGTTGACCCTCTTAGGAATCCGTTAGCCGAATTTGTTGTCCGATTGGAATCTCGACACTGAGCTTGAAATGAAGATATTAACGAGCAGCTAATTAGTACGTGATTGATGAAGATTCTTTCTTTCTCTCACTAAAGAATCATGGTGAAGAAAATTCGCTGCAGAATGAGAGTAAAAGTTCTCTGTAAACGACACAGACAGACCTATATCCACATACACGTAAAGAATATCGCAAAATCTACATCATGATTAGTATAAGTGACTTTAAAAGCATTTCGTGCTGCACGTTGATATTAATACACACTACGCACCCTTTCTCAGTGAGTTTAACCTTCATCTGAACAAACACGAATAACAGTTATTGTGACCTTAACATTTGTAAATATTTCTAAACTCAAAGTTTCTTCTTTTCGATGACATTGTGCGAGATAGATATTGAGCGAGAATCAATTATTTCATAAATGAATAAAATTTTTCGAGCTAGCCGTTCAAGTGTTAATCTTCGAGAAGAATCTTGATGAAAAGCGTCAACATAAAGCTCTACCAATATCAAAGAGAATTCAATTGTATTGTGAATAAAATCCACTGAAACCCGACAAATCAGAACTCTTCATCGCAACCCACACCAAGCCGCTAAACCGATGGTACACCGCAGTACCGTGGCGCCTGGAAGCAGGTCAACGACATCGTGCAACCTCGAGTACAGTTTCCACGTTCCAGCTCGCTAGTCGATCGACAAATAACGCCGGTCTTATTAACTTCTATCTGCGTGTGTCCGCGTTTGTCCTATCATTCTTCTATTGTTCTTATCAATCTTGACATTTTTTTTTACCGCCTTGTATGAACTAACCCTCTTGCATACCAAGAGAACCCCACGCAAACACCATATAAATCACCCTTGCACCAATCTTTTTTTCCTCAAATATGAGCTTTCCTTTTCAGGAATTCTGAACACCTAGTGCCGCACGTCCTTCCTTTCACGAACACTTTAGTATCACAGAACGCGTTCAAACAACATTTAAAAGAGAAATTCTGTTTTCATAAATGAGAGTCTCCTCGATCGCGCCGCAAATGAAATATCGTCCTCGGGGGCGTTCGTGGCTCGCGTGCGTGACATCACGCGTAACCGCGACACGCGAGCTTTCACCCCTGCGAGCTTTCGCGACGACGGTCGACGCGGAGGCCGCGAGAGCGATTGGTCGGCGGTGCCTGCGCGCACTGACACTACATGGTCCTCGCGAATCGCACTCCTGGCCGGGTCGCCGGTACTCCGGCAATAGTACGTTTTGCGACTCGTCCGCGCGCGGGCGCCAGCGCGGATGTCGGACGACACCCCCGTGACTATATCGATCCGCGGGGCGCCCCGTTCTCGGCTCCGCTCCGCCGCGTCCTCCTCCGCAAACCACCCGATGCGACGCGCACGACAACGCCAGGCCACTGCACCCTGACAGCAACGTGTCCCATCAACCACCCGGTATACGCGTTTTTCGCCTATACAGATATATGTAAGCGCCGAGCGCGTGGTATCCTATAGGATTGTCGAAGAGCAGCCTGAGGTGAATTGGAAAAAGTAGGGAAACTTTATTTCTTCCAAGGAGAATAAAAACTTTGAATTCTTTTCCTTACACACGTGAGCAAGCAAGATCTGATACAATGGTGATGAAGTCAGGAGAAATATAACCTCGTTTCGTGCCCATTTTCACGTGCGCATTTACTTTGGAATTCAGGATTTTGGGGATAATGCAGCATTTTCTTCATGGAATTATGTAGGAGACTATATTTATCTGAAGCTAACATGTTCAATAGTACTGTCATGATGAATGACACATAAGGGGCTCTTATCTAGCTCGGTCTTGCTCTCTTCAATATGTTGCCAGTTGGCTGCTTCTATTATCATCAATAACGTGTTAGAATGAGGCAACGTTGACTCTTTTTTAAAGCTAATCCATTTTTATTCAGGAACACGGCCGCATATGAGTGTCCCATATGTCAAAAGCGCCATGGATTGCAGATAAAAAAGTAGCCACTCTTATCTCGAAAGGTACCGGCATTTTCTGTATCGCATGTACCGCCTATTGTAATATTATTGGACGATAAAGGTACTTTATCGCTCTAATAGCCACCAACAATAGATTTTGATCAATATTGTCTATCTACTTGGAATTTGACTATGAAGAGCTTTGGAAAGGATAATAATTCTGCGAGCAGCAATTATTCACATATTTTTCCAGTACATAATTCTTTATATCATTATTATTGGAACATGCAGTCGAGTATAATATTGCCTCTTAATGACGATAATAAAACAGAAATAATACTCAATACCAATCTTCTTGTTAAAAACAGCAAGCAAAAAGATTTAGCTATTTTCAGCGATCAATTTCATCTTGAAATGTAGGTCATCTATGTAGGTCACGCAGGGTGCGTGTATGTGTTGCCTTCCTTCCCTTTCAGCTTGCTGCCGTTAGGCTCTAAATAGCATACAGTTCCGAAAATTATTGGGGATATCATTTAGTGTGCTTTTTTTCTTACAAACATTGACACAACAAAAGTGTAAAAGTGTTTCTTACAAACATTTTTACACAAAATTTTTTATAATTTTCAGTTTCCTTCATAATTAGATTTAAAAAAAAATCTAGATCTTGAATTTTGAATTTCATGTTATTTTTTTAAAGAGTATACACATATACTTCAAGTTGCTCGAGAAGTTTTAGCAGACAAAAGCAAGCGTGTAAAATCTGGAATATCTGTAGGTATCTGTAGGTATCTGAGGGCAACAGCTTCGATCTCAAAATCGCAGCTTGTGAATAAATAATCGACGAACTATACGAGCGTGACGGCAGCTCATTTCATCGCGGTCACGTGGCGCTATGCAAAAATAAAATTTAAGAGCATTGTGCTTGTAGAGGCGGACCGCGCATGCTCGCGATACGATAGCTAGCGGGCGCAAACCGATCGAATTGGAATTCTCTTTTATACGTATGTATCTATAGCGTGATCTTTGCGAATAAATGGCATATTGCCAATGCAAATATTGCAGCTATTGAAATAAGATAGACGGTATCGACCTATTTCAATAATGTGGTTAAAATCACATCCTAATACATCTGTGCTAAAACAGGTATAGCCATTGGTCCATCGACCATTGAGTACTCTGACCTCGTTATTTTCCAGGCATAGGATAACTGTCGCACGCGCTTGGCAGTTATCACGATTACGAGGATCTTCGGCAATCGAATGACATAGTTGCTATTTCGAGAAAAATTGTCAGCGTTAAAACATTAATATCTTCTCACTTCGGCCTGAAAATAGACTCGTGCCCGACGAAACTCGCGCGAAAGTTGTCGCACTACATTCTCATTAAGAAGCAACAAGAGGTAGGATTATAAAAAATGTTTACCCTACGATTGATCCTGCTTCTTCCGAAAGGTTTGTAATGATCTCGTCTTGGTGGTCCTCGCAGGTGTGCCATGTTATAGGACGGCAATTGATGAATCGGACGAAGGATGAAGATCAACCAAAACTATGAGGATGCTCGTCGATACTGAAGGGAAAAACGGACCTGCCACGTGTATCCAACGTATCCGGTTGACTGGATCAGTTTTTGTCAGCTTCGCGAGTCCATTGACTTCCGCCGCAAGATACGTCGAGCCCAGGCTCGAAATCGCGTTCATCACGTCCTAACGTTTGTTTTCTTTTAGTTTACGCGACACTGATCCACACCATGCACACGTTTTACGTGGTAGAGATGCATCGAAATGGCAGCGTACGTGATTCAGACACTTAACGAAGGCTTGAGGAACAAAGCTTTTTGTTGCAATGACTGATGACTTGTAAGCACTTCTCTGCAATTGCTAATTGAAGGTTTGCTGTTTCTGATATTGTTTACTGGATTTGGCAAGAATTTCACTTTCTATATACAGGCTACTTTACATAAAATGTTGTAAGTTGTTATTCTTAAAAATATCAAAACTAATCAAATATTGTATTTAATATTCTTTTCTAGGTTTGAACGAATCTATTTCATGATGTACCCATACATATTTTCTATTGAGTGAGAAAATAAGTGTATATCCTGTGTCTTCTGAAAACCGGGGATGATGTGTCGGTTCGTAGATAATTCGATCTTTGGATCAATGCCGAAACGTAAATGTAACAGTCTCTGACGTTCTCAAGAATATATCAGACAAGTAAATCTGTAGCCCTGACCTTGACTCATCGTGGTAATGTTTAGCATGGAAATTGAATGCCAATTATTAATATTGAATATTATTTACAAATAAAATTTTATATATTGACTTATTTACTTCAACACACATACACACACATATCTTTAAGTTTGCTTCGAGATACAAAATAAGAGAGATTAAATTAAAGTAAAATATTTGTGACTATGTATTTTACATTATAGTCACATGTAATCTTATTTATTTTTACTATACACCACATATAGAAATTATCTAGACGAACAGAGCCATGTTAAAAATAGTTTCGATTTCCTAATAAATTATCTTGGCTTCTGGTAATCTTCAGAGATCTAGAGAAATCTTCTTGTAAAATTGGCGCAATCCAGTAAGCAATCTCAGAAAACCTTAATCCTTTAAGATGTAGTAATTAATCACTGTAGCCTGCAAGACTTTCAATTGATATACTTGTCAATAAATTGAGTGAGGCACTTTTCAGTTTCGCGACACAAAGAATTTTAACTTCACTATAGTAATACTAAATCGATCACTTTCGATACCGTTGCGACGGTAGCAGTAAGTCACGTGTTTATTTTCCAGAGAGCTGCAGAATCCCAATCCAGGCAATATATCGGTCGCGAACTCAAGTTATCACGTCGGCGAAGTGGATTCGCGATTTTTGAAAAACACTTTTCTTCGGATCTATCGGTAAATGACAATTTCTAGAATCTGGTACAAGACAAGCTCAGTGTGGATGTGCTAGTGCTACTGGTGAGTCGAGGAGCTTTTGGAACGCACCACGACCTCCTCCGCTATAAATAAAACGGCGGCCGCCACACCGAAAACTCTGCCAACGAAACGGGTAACGCCGATTCATCGTAATTTTTCTCGCGAGACTCAGAAAACGGGAAATTTTCCTGGTGACGGGAGATAGCCGCAATAGATTGTGCCACCAATGTTTCAAATTGGACGAGTCGATTTGCATGCCAAGTGACACCTTTGATACTGTCTTTGTTGAAACCTGAATTTTCTCGTTATCGCCTGATTAAAGATTAGAAAAATGTAAAAATGTAAATTTTTTTACATGGTATTTAACAGAGTTTATTTCTTCAAATGTTTTCAAATAAAAATCATATTAGAGATAAAGACCCAAGAGCATTAATTCCTTTTAATCTTCGCTAAAGATCTTCGATGAGTGTAATTTTAGAAGTAACAGTTTATTTCGAAATTTCTAATTATTGCTTAATTTTATTGCATTCTCTTATAAACTGCATCTCTCAGAATTATTTTGATGAGTTAATGTTAATGAGTTTAAGGTTAGTAATATTAGTGGACTTATACAATCTATGTAATTTTACTGATATTGCTAGTCTTTTAATGTTTTTTTTTAGAAATTGAGAGATATTTATCATCGATTAAAATATTATAGTTTCTCAAAGAAAAAATCTTTGTTACTTGATATTTTAAACAAATTAGAACATCGTAACATACAATTCGCACGATAATTGCAAAAATACATGGAATTACTTACTTAGAAATACTTACTTTAATTTTTTATTCAAATTTAATTGACGAACATCAAACAGATAGATTTTTAATGTAACTGAATCAATGCTATAACTTAGATTCAATAAGAAAGACGTCTTATTGTAATAGAACGAAATGTATCATCCTTTCTCAAGTGACACGTTAACTGCCAAATAAAATTCATCGATTATTCCATAAAGCCGCATTTCGTAAAACAGCATATACGAAGATTAAGTGGGGCGAGTCACATAATCTAGTCACGGTCCTGCACGAAAACTATGCGCCGGCTCATATAACAAGATGCGATAGTCACGTGTTAAAAAACACGTGAGGGTGAGCAATGTCAGGTTGAGCTGTACACTAAATAACTATCACTTTGTATATCACCTGATCTTTAGATAACTATACTTGAGTAAGTAATTTTCTCTCTAAAAGAGATCTACAGTTGAAACATTATCTTGGTTGGATAACCGAAATCTTTGATGTAACTGTAGGTACTTGCAGCAACTGGTATAGATTATAACTCAACCGTTCCTCGATTAGTAACGAAAATGTACTACTTTCTGTTTTACCGACGAACGGTGATTCCTGAAAACAATATTCTAAAAACATGAAACTTCACTAGATGTCTGCAACTTGGTCTCTATTCTGCGCCAATTTCAAATAATTTACATCACTAACGAAATATAATATCTCTTTATCTTAAATATTTCGTGATATTATTAGAACAATTCAATTAAACAATTGAATGAGTCACAACTTTACGATAGATTAACATTAAAATTAATAAGATTGTGATAATTTTCTTAAATTATTTCTCATACACGATAACTAAATAGAAACAAAGTAAACATATTTTGCACCTCTTGGAAATAGATAAAAATAGATAAAGAAGACAGGAAGCTGTTGTGTCATCGTTTATGCATGCAGTTTTATGAGATCAGTTTTTTCAAGCACCGCCAAAGAAAGTCGTATGAGTTTCGCAATACTGTGAACCAAATTTTCGCAAATACAATAAAAAAGTAGTCTTTTCATCGTTGAAATCTCGCGAATAATAAGATACTTCCTTTTCATTTAAGCCGCAAACAAATCATCAAAAATTTTCCGTTTAAGAGCGCTTTGGATCACAGAGGACGTTTACTGCAACGTACGATTTGAATAATGGATGCTGTCGAAAGGCAGGACGTCTCTTTTCAGAAGGAATCGATGGTGTTCTAAATATATGGGGCCGAAAGTCATTGCTTCACAGCTCGACGAGCGGCGCACGCTTCTCTCAGGCGCTATTACGTTTCTCGCTTTAATTATTCAGCGTCTTGGCATTTCCGCTGGTATTTTCGTTGCCGTACGCCGGCCGCATTGTGCACAATGCGCACATTAAGCGAGATGCCGGGTATTATAACGCGATAAGATTTACTGGTAGCGTAGTATGTGTGTCGTACTTCTTGAGCACGCCGGAATGTCCGCGGTAAGTGCCTGAAGAAATATGGCGTAGCAATTGCAATCAAACTGAAATCATGTTTATTCTGTATGTCCTATTATTATCAGAGATATATTTCAATATTTCCTACACTCAAAAAATTATTTTACTCTGAATTAGGTAGATTTCTAAAAGTCACAATTAAAACTTATCGCTGTGTTTTAGCTGTTAGAAAACTGTTTACAATATGCAGAATTTACAGCAACAGAACATATTAACAATATTTTCAGGCAAATTTAGATCCCATTACCAATCACTAGTCTAATTTTAATCTGGATGGGAAACACGAAGAGACTTTCTTCGCTAAATTTTACAAATAATTCAGGTAAAAATTCTGTCTGTTATCTCTATTGATTAAATGTTTTTTTATGTGTCAGTTTTATGAGATCAGTTTTTTACGTAAATAAGCAAATGAAAAAGAGAAAAATTTCAATAGTTACTCACTCAAAAAAAGTAGTCTTGCAGTTGTAGAGAAAATGATTTCTAGATACGAGATTTCTAGATACGAGAAATAAATTAATATGGACAAAGGAATAGCAAATATACTGCTGCAACACCGTTTATGTTTTGTATTTTATCAATATAGGACAGAAACAGAATTTCTACCTCAATTATTTATGAAATTTAGCATGAAAGTCTGTCTCTATGGCACTCATCCAGATTAAGGCCAGTCACGCTTCTTATAACAATTGATTGTGGTAAACAAAAGAAACTAGCAAAGAGAAACAAACAAATATATAATCCTCACACCCACCTAAATTTACCTGCAGATGTTGCTAGAATATAGTTGCTGTAAATTCTGCGTATCACAATGTTTTAGCAGATATAAAGAACAGCGATAAATTTTAACTGTAACAATCACACAATTCTACCTAAATTAGCAAAATATCTTTATGCTTCGAATACTGTACAACTTTGAAACTTTGTACGTTTTACTTTTACTGATTTAACTATTGGCAACGCGTTTGCTACTTTGAAGAGTGGGCCAGAGAAAACTAATGATATTATTCGTCTCCCGTTGCATATGCTAGCCAGTCACATTGTTAGCGCGCACCTGCACCTGCTTCGCTTTTCTCGCGGTTGCATCGCATCTCTCTCTTTCTTTCTCTCGCTCTCTCTCTCTCTCTCTCTCTCTCTCTCTCTCTCTCTCT